ACCGCAAAGCTTGGGTCAATCATGTACTACGCGAGCACCCCTACGACGAGCAAGCCACTGATCTGGTCAAGCAGGTGATGGAGGCCAAATTGGTCGCCCAGTGCAACAAGTGTCACCTCTTCTTCGAAGCTGCTGGTATCAGTCAACACCGCTCCCGATGTGGTGCCAATCTGAAGCGAGCGACCGAGGCGTTGTTTCATGCGGCTGGACACGACCTGCTTGAGATTATGCGTGGCGCTTGGCCCCAACAGTGTGTAGGGCCTCGCATCAGTGTCTGCGAGCTGCTCAAGCTCGCCCGGCATCCACTGATGCAGCGCAGCCGCTACCCATCCAACGCCACCGAGACCAAGCTGGTGGCTGCCACCTTGAGCCAGCTGTATTGGTCTGCCGTCCACTCGGACTATACCGCTGAAGAGCGAGAGATGTGCTGGGCTTTGATTTTGGCCTTGCCTAGCATGTTGTTGTCTGCTCCCTCGACCGCACTGTCTACGATTGACCTGCGCAATATGTTTCACGATCGTCTCCGTTGGCTTGTGACGGGGCAACTAGGTCGGGTCGTGGACGCCATGCGCAAGGCAGTCGCACGCAAGCAGAGCCGTCGAGGACAGCTGAACGCCGGCGCGGGCGCCCACCCGAACGACGCAGTCGACCAGAGCCTCAGATCACTCGTCCGCGACCCGGACCTGGCGGACGAAGCCTGGGCAAACCACGTCACGAACCGTCTGAACCGAGGTCAGATTGCCAAAGCATTTGATGCCGACAAGGCTCGTGCCGTGATTGGTAATTCTGAGGTTCAGGCCGTGCGCGACCTCTTGGTACCGCCCGGGCTGACCCCGTACATTGCTTCGACACCCGCCTCCACGTCTACACTGGCACCAGCCACGGCTGCGAGCTCCCCAACCGTGTCCTTCACCAAGGGTGAGCTCCCCAAGGCGTTGGCGGCCACCAAGGGTGTCACTGACCCCTATGGTTGGTCTGGTGAGCTTCTTGCCTCCATTTACCGCATCAAGGAGCACTTCAGTCAAGTTTTGGGCCCACGCCAGGGTCCTACCAGCGACCCGACTGCTCCTTCTGATGGAACGCGCCTCAGGGCCCCACCACCGCCACTGGAGTCCTCA